GTTGGCGGGAGCTGGGACAAGCGACGGGAGCTCACTCCGTTGCGTGGATTCGATCTTACAACTGCTTGGTCTTCTGACCTTGCAGCACAGGCTTCTGCGGTTTAGCCCGCAGCGCCACCACGTCCCTTTTTGCAAGATAATCTGGAAGGAAAGGAATTTCCATGGTAAGAGTAAGCATTGAGTGAAGAGTGATCCGGAACCAGGAATAGTGAGACGTAGATCAAAGCCCTTGTAACAATGAAAAGAAAGGACCGTTTTATTTTATAGGGATTTCCCCAATGTCACAAATAGCTTCGTAACTGGAAAGGGGTGGATTTGAGCTTGCAATGAAATAAACTAAGGAAGAAATGAGAAATTGACAGATTACTTCATTTAGGCCCAGCACTTTTAAGTGCTTAACTCTGTTGGGGGTTATTGCAACCTAGTATACTGCCTTTAGTAGGTTTGGCTGGGGGTGGAGGGGATTCTTTCTCAGCTGGGGCGACTGTCCATCTATCCAGCACAAATCAAAAGTTTCTTCTGCCTCTGATTCAAAGAGAGCCCTGCTTCTCTGATCTGCCCTCTCCCTCTCTCTTTGTCTATTGGGAGTCAGTCTGTTATCTTCCCCTCTCTTTGTCTATTGGGAGTCAGTCTGTTGAGGCCTGTTGCTTGAAGCAGTCATGTTTTTAGCTTACTGTAGTCTGTATAATTGTAAATGATGAAACTTTTAAAATTCTTTCTCCCATGTCTCGGACGAGTTACTGAAACTGTAAATGCCAGTTGATGAAAAGAAGGGGTGAATTAATTGGGGGATTCAAATCCTTCTGTCAAATCTTCTGTGAATCCTAAAGAAGGGGTGAATTAATGGGGGGATTCGAATCCTTCTGTCAAATCTTCTGTGAATCCTTCAATTTCAGCTGTACAGCTACAAAAATTTAACCAGAATTAAAAATTTGTGTTACAAATGCTTCCTTGTTTGGTTTCACATCTCTAATATACAACCATGTTTGTGCTAAATTAGGATAGCTTCCTCTGTTTTTTTTTCCCCTTGCAGACTCTTCACTTCTAACACAGATATAGCAGGCAGATACAACCTGTTGGAAATATCCTGTGCCAATGGAATTTGGTAAGTGCAGATAAACGAAAGCACTGTTTGAGTTTATTTTTGAAGAATGCCTGAATTTGTAAATCAAATGTTTTGTGATGGAAAGAATTTGATTTTTTTTTTAAAAAATCAAAGATAGGACAAAGTGAAACTGATATATTTTCTCATTTGTAGCAAAGAAAGGGTTAATTAAAACAGAGTGCAGTGGACACCACTCCAGAGGTGGACTCAGTATCAACTGAATGTATGGAAGCAAATGCTGGGTTCAGGAAAGGAGGAAGGACTGGGGAGCTTGAATGGGCTGTCTGGAGAAAGTCTGGGGAGTCTGTCACTAGCAGTGCTGTTGCCAGGAATAGAAACTGAGAACAGAGAGAAAGAAGGCGATGTCAAGGTTGTATGTGAGCTGGTGTAGCTCAGTGGGTTAGATTGCCTGGTAGCAAAGCCAGGAATCTGAATACCTTCTGGGCCTCCCAAGAGAGTGGGGCAGCTGAGATCACCCAGAGCATCTTAGGTGCCCTGCCGCCTGTGCTGCTTTGAGCAAAGCTGCGTGATCCCAGAGCCACCACCAGAGGGAAGAAGTGGCAGATTACTTCTCAGCCCTTCAAACCCACAAAACCCCAAGGGTTTCCATGAACTGGGATTCAGACGATTAAAACTACTACGGCTGGAATGTCAAAAAAGGAGAGAAGGTACAGAGTGGAAGGTGCTATCTGAAAGAGGCTGAAATAAAGGCACAATTCAGAGTCACAGTGAAAGCTCCATGGACAAGACAGGACAGGGCTTCACCTGAACATCACACTGCATAATGGGTCATGAAGAAGCAAGCATGCCAATGCAGTTACCCCTTAAGTTAAACTCATACTTAGGCCGTGGTTAAATTAGGGCCAAATTAGATGTTAACTGGAATACAGTCTCCCTGAAATTGCCAGATTCCGTCTCTCACCACCATAAGAGACTTTCCTCTAAGAAGACTTGTTAGGTCCATGTGTATCTTCCAATGATCAATCAGAAAACAAACCATGTGTAATATGCAAGTGAGAACCAGTTATGTGCTATGATGAACATATCTCTTTCACCACTTGATAAGTTAAACTCATACTTAGGCCGTGGTTAAATTAGGGCCAAATTAGATGTTAACTGGAATATAGTCTCCCTGAAATTATCACATTATGATGAACATATCTCTTTCACCACTTGAAGGAGCACCTTTTCTAAAAAATATGCTAAGGGCATCATGTAACATGGCTTTTAGGTTGCAGTTTTATTCATGCATTCACTTAGGATGGGAGGAAGCTCTCAGGAGGTTGTGATGGAAAGGGTGCATCCATCTCAGCTGGCAGGTCTTGAACAGCAGATAGGTAGACTGGGAACTCTTTCTTGTCTTTTGAGCTCACAGACAGTGGCTTTCTCCCTTTTGAAAATCTTCAGCTTTGCTTCCCACTCGTTCTGACACAGATGGGAAGGGGTTAGGAGTTACAGCATTCCATATGGCTTGAGAAACAGTCCTAAACCTAACCAGTTGGATCAAGCAAAGTTGGTCAAGAGAGAGTGGCAAAGTGAAGTCAAGGGAAGAGGGACCAAATTCTGGAAGAGATTCCAGGATCCTGAGAGGACAGGCAGAGAACAATTGCCAGATCCTCTTTTCATGAATTTGCCTCCACTTTTCCCCCTGAAAACAGCTCTGAGATGCTGCCTTTCACTCTGTTGCAGCCACTGAAGGGATGGTAGGCTTCTCTATCATCCCATCAAACATCTATCTAAGCCTGGCACCTAATCCAGGATAAGAGTTTGGTGACTGGATGTCTGCAGCTAAAGCTTTAACTCCCTTTCATTTGTGGTCTGGGGCCAGAAGGCAGCTCTTAGACCCAATGAATGCATCGCCATGAACTGTTGTAATTTTAAGAGAAGATCGGATACTAGAAGTGTTTTTGTCCAGGCATCTGGGAAGAAGATGGATTACCAAATCTCCTGGGCTCAGAGTGGCTATGTTCATTTCAAGCCATCCCAAAATATCCAGGAGCAAATCTTGCTAGCCTAGTGAAAGCCAAACGATTTCTTGGGGCTCCAGAGAAGACTCAATGATGTGTACGACATGACAACAGTAAATATTCTCCAGGGTGGAATTACATCTTCTTGCATGTCATTCTAGGGTAATTGAATCTCCTTCTGAGAGCCGGACCAAAGATTGGTTTCTTCATTCTGGGAGGAAATGGAGTTTTCTATAATTACAATGAGAGAGACAAAGTTAACAATGGTTACGCAATCTTTTCAGAATGGTTAGAAATCATGTGTAGCCAAGATTGCTGTGGGTATGGTTTTGCTTTCTTTCTGCATAGCTCTCCGGCAGTAGGCTTCAGAATCTGAGGGTGCAATCAGACAGCAGGAAAGGTGAGCATCCGGCCTCGCCCAAAAGGGGGGTAATTTTGCAGGGAACAATGTCTGTTAAAATGAACGTTCTGTCTGTGTGTGGTGGAATCAGTCCAGCTCAGCGCCTAAACGTTCTAGCTTTACAGCTGCACCAAAAAAAGGTCCTGTTCGAGCATGGCTCAGGGTAGGGCTGAAGAGCAATTTCCCATATGTTGTGTGATTGTCAGGAAAGAGATTGGACTGGACTGTTCCACAAGTAGTCCAAAATGAAATCTATTTCCCCCTTGTGATCACATCCTCACTCATGTCCTATTTTACAGAAGATGTCTGGTCTGCCTGTCTCCCTCCCTCCCTCCCTCCACTGTCTTTTTCTGTAAAAAGGACCCAAGGTGGCTTACATAATTAAACACATAATATTTTCATGTTGCAGTACTGCAGTACTTCTTTCATTTTTAACTTTCTTGCTCTGTCTTTGGTTTAACCTATGATTGCTTGAGAAGGTTCCAGATTCTCATGGGAGACATTTTTGACACCACACAGTCAGGAGCCTTAAGAAGTGTGACTCTAAAGGATCCTAAGCTGCAGGGACCTTGGCAATGTCTATGAACAGTTAGCACCTGGGAGAGAGAGTGAGCGGAGGCACCAGTCAACAGATTAGAGTCTTTGCCTTTTTTTCCCCCTGAAAGGTAGTGCATTTCTATTTGACATGCAGTGCCATTTCCAAACCTTCAGCTGCACATCTGAATTAATATAAATATCTTCTATGCAAAAATGGGGTCCCCTTGTGGCAATCTCTGAGTATCAGGGATGGGGACTTGAGTCGTGGGACTCAGTGTCAAGTCAGACTGAAGTTGCACCAGTGACTGTGACTCAACTTCCTTTTTTTCTGGGGTGGGGGAAATGCTTGTATTAATGGCTTGGGGGTTGGGACTTGGGACTTGGTACCAAAGACTCAGACTTGGGACTCAGACTTTCCAACTTCCCTGATAAGTAGCTACCCCATGTGACTCAGAGAAACCTCTGAAACCCTTCAATGGCCGTGACTGCCCTCCCCATGCCTACCTGTTTGCTGCCTCACTGATTCAGCCGTGGATCCTTTACAACAACTGTCCAACGGTAGAGCCCTCAAATGTCTCTCGAGGCCAGCTGCCGGCACGACCACATAGCAGGCAGAGGCAAAATGGAGACAACAAAGATATGCTAATGTCCCAGGCAAGGCATGTAGATGCAAATTCATCGGATAATGGGAAAAGGTCGCTCTAGACGGAACCCAGTGAAGATCAAAATTCAGCGACATCTCTATCATGTAATGATGATTTTTTTTTATTGGCTCAACCAACCTGCCTTGATCTTGCATGCCAACCTGAAATAGTGTTATATCCTCCTGCTGTCTTCCTACCTCCAGTCTGGCTGCTGCTAATGGCATTTGGATGCATTCCTTGGATATAATGAAATGGTTGTTGTTGTTTTTCGCTGAATAAATGAATTTTCAGCGGTGGAATGATAAACACCAACAGATGATCTCATCTTGTTCTACTCTGCAAAATTTAACACATCTCAGAATTAGCACCCACGAAACATGGAGCTGATCCAGCATGAGTTTTAGGTGAAGTTTTGCAATGTCCGACCACTCCTGAAGGATTATTTTAATGGTGAAGGTTAATAGTATTTCTAATCAGTTTTTTCTACAAATACCTGCTTGCCGGGATGTAATCTGCATACTAGGATGATTTGAAATTATTAATGACATGCTTAAAACCAGCTGCTTGGGGAGAAACGTCAATAATGTGCTGTGACATGGGGGGTTTTCAAAACCGGATTCTTGACTTGGAAGTTGGCTACTAACACAGAGAACCACTTACACACCTGAATGGGGGCCAGTTTTAATGGGCCTTCCCTCCCCCACCTTTCAGCAATTGAAGCCAAAGGGACAAAACAAGGAAAAATATCCATCATGCTTTCCTCTGATTTTGCAAAGCATGTCTTGCAAACAGAGTGAAAGAAGATGCATTAGCAAAGAGTTTGCTGGAGTTTTTTTTCTTTGCTTGTTTGTGTGTTTTTTTGTTTTTGGAATGCAAGCCCAGAATCCTTGAGGATGACAAGCATCCATGCCAGCTGAGCGATTTGGAGATCTATAACCCTAAAAGTAAGATTCTCGAACTTTGTTAATAGGAGTCCCATTTGAGATGGGTGAGGCCACAGTACCAATCTTTAACCATATGAGAGTCAACAAGGGGTCATCAATACACCAGAAGACAACGGTCCAGACAAGGAGTGAGCTTACAGCAAGATCAGTGGTCAAACCAAGGTCAAATGGTCATGTCTTTACCATAAAGCAGGTCAGGCCAAAGAGCAGAAGGTACTGAGGCCATGCTAGTTAATCGGAGTCAAAGCATACATGGGGCAAAAGAGATTGTAAGCAAGGAGAGTTTATGGGTTTCACACCCCCTAGATTCTCCTTAGACCCCTTCCCCGCATAAAAAGGTGTCAATCCCTGGAGTGACTGAAACTGCCTACCCCTGCTGCAGATGGGCCATTGAGTATAGGGAGCTTATTGTATTCCTGCCAAAACTTTATTTTGCTTCCTTTAAAATTATCAGGAGATAATTCTCCCCAGGCCACTTGGAAGTCACTAACTGACGGGATCACCCTTA